ATTTTTTCTACTCATATACCTATTATAAACTTCAATCTCTATTCTAAAAAAGTTTGTTCAGATTTCTATTTAGCAAATATTTCTTATATTGTACTTTGAAACTTGAAACTTGAAAGAGAAAGATAAAGGAACTGGTTGGGAATTGAATTAAATTGTTTAACAGCATTGTATGAGAATGATCGTTGAAACAATGCACTACTATGAAGCGGCATAGTTATTTTTTTTAAATATCTTACATTTATATCATGAACAGAATGTCGGAAAATTAAGCGTTCTCTTATAGAATCAGGTGAACCTGGAGTGTTTATAATTTTTAATAAAAAACTAGAAAAATGGAGAGTGCGACGCTCATTCATTGTAAGCCATTTAATTTCCTTATACAAATGAGATATATGATCAAACCTACGCAGACTATAGATAGACCTGAGTCACGCATTTTGCACCTTCTGAATCCGATATACAGGGTGGCGCATCGAAAACGAAACAGACGCATTTACTGGCAGCTCAGTTTTTCTTTTGGAAAAACGCTCAGACCCGTCGATTTTGTTTTCGAGGGGGACACAAGTTTGGCAAAAAATCACGTTAGCACGTGCAGCCCCCTAGGCAGGGGTGACACCACCCCCAAAATCTTAAACGGAAAGGGGGGTCGAGTGATACCTTATTATAAAGGTATTTCAATTCCCTTTATAATGATATAAAATTAATGTACCTCAGTTCAGTGGTTTTTAAGATTTATTGATTTAAAGTTTAAATAAAACTAATACATCATCATTAGTGGAGATCAATACATTTGGCAGCAAAGTAATTTAAAAATGAAGAATGGACTGACCCGTTAGTCAAGTAAATGTTGAAAATGGCCACCATGACTCTCCATGCAATAATAAAGATTTTGCTCAAAACGTTGCCGCACATTTTGCAATATTTGAGGAGTAATTTGAAGGCACTCATTCACAATTCTTTGTCGCAGGTCTTCTAATGATGTTGGCTGAGTAGCATAGATTTTGCTTTTTAAATGACCCCACATAAAGAAATCCAAAGGTGATAAATCTGGCGAACTTGGGGGCCATTTAATGGCACCTCTTCAACCAATCCATCAATCTGTAAACGTCTGATCTAAATGTGGTCGAACACGTAATGCGTAATGTGGTGGGGCACCATCCTGTTGGAACATAAACCTATTCGCAATGTACCGCCGATCATTCTGATTTTCAGTTATGGCTGTTAATGCAGGATCTATGGCGTCTTCCAGTAATTCCAAATGCATTTCACCGGTCAAATTTCTAGGTAAGAAAAAAGGACCAACTAAATGACCGCCAAAAATACCAGCCCAAACATTTAATTTTTGTGGCTGCTGTGTATCAACCTCACGATAAATTCTGGGTTTAGAATCGGACAAATATCGGCAGTTATGACGATTTACTACGCCATTTAAGAAAAAGGAACATTCGTCGTGTTGAATAGAAAATGCTCATAGTTTATAATTTGTTCACTCATATCTTCACAAAATTGTAATCGCCGACCAAAATCGTCTTCATTAAGTTCTTGTACCAGGTGAATTTTGTAGGATGAAAACTATGGGCCTTTAGAATCCGTTGGACAGTACGTCGATTAACACCACACACAGTCTCCAATTTACGGGTACGTAGTATCTACATAAACTTGCCCTAAAACCCCCACCTCTATGGCTTCGTTCCTTTTGGGATTTTCAATGTTGCGTTTTTTATTGGCGACTGACCCAGTTTCCCGAAATTTAGCTACACATATACTAAGTGACATATAAATCCGAACACCCAGTTTAAATGGTTTTATTTTAATAAAATTTTGTATAAGTACTTAATGAAGCATAATAAGTAAATGATAAAAATTTCAAAATGATTGCACTGCTTTAAAGCCCTTTGACCTTTAATAATGTGTGGATGCACCCTGATGTGCTACGCATTCTCCAACGCGCCTAGGCATGCTTCTGATCAGGTGGTCAATGTCCTCCTGTGGTATCTCATTCCAGGCAACCACCAACTCCTCTCGAAGTGCTTCTAGAGTCTGAGGAGGACGTTGCAAATTGAGCAATATCCTACCCATCATATCCTACACGTGCTCAATTGGGGATAAGTCGGGAGATCTTGGTGGCCGTGGTAACAATGTGACATCATTATGTTGAAAGAAGTCTATTGTGACTCTTGCAACATGTGATCGGGCATTACTTTAAGCTTTAAATCAATAAATCTTCAAAACTACTGAACTGAAGCTCATATATTTTACATCATTATAAAGGGAATTCAAAGACCTTTAAAATAAGGTATCACTCGACCCCCTTTTCCATTTAAGATTTTAGGGTTGGTGTCACCCCCGCCCAGGGGGCTGCACGTGTTAAAGTGATTTTTTGCCAAGCTTGTGTCCCCCTCGAAAACAAAATCGACGGGTCTGAGCGTTTTTCCAAAAAAAAACTGAGCTGCCAGTAAATGCGTCTGTTTCGTTTTCGATAAGCCACCCTTATATGTTATAAAAATGAATGGAAACATTTGGAGCACAGGTTAAGTAAATCAAAATAATTAAAGTCTGCATCATATCTTTTTTATTAAAATCCTTCGTTAGCATTTTTTATAGAAATATTTTTCAATGCCATCAGAAATAAAGGACAGACATTTCCTTAGGACTAATTTTCTGCTAGAACCTCTCGCCTTTGTTTAGGTTTAGAAAAGGTCTATGTTGGAAAGCATATACATGAAATGTTATTATTTCTTAGAAAGTCGATTCTAGAAGCAGAAACTGGTAAACTGAGATTTTTTTTGCATTTAGTTGTTCAAGTATCCTGTTCCTTGATGACACGTTCATAATTCAGGGTATGGTCATTCATTCTACTACAAAAAGAAAGGCTTAAGTCAACACGTATCTGCAATAGCGTAAACTTTTTTGTACATGACGCTGAACTTACAAAGGGCAGAAAATTTAATCACATTTCTGTGTCAAAACCAGTACCGCTGATAGTGGAAACGCAAGAGTATCGTGTAACAGAGGTATAAAATGTCATTGGGTCATTGTTTCAGGAGAACTAGATTCATTCCTCGAAAGACGATTAGTCAATGCTGTAGTGTAAGATAATAAATAGCACACATACAGGTTCCACCATGAAAGTGATGCGTATTTTCTAATAGATTAATTGATCGTACTTTTACAAATGCTTAAAATCCATAACACTTGCGGGGCCATGTTTGCCATGCCATAAAAATTCCTTGACTGAAATGTCTCCTATGAACGTTGCAACATGCTTAGGGATGGTTTCCACCGACACCCAATGTTGTCCTTTCAACTCTCTCTTGAGTCATGGAAACGAAAAAGTCAAGTCATGGAGTCAAGTGGGGACTCTTAAGGAGGTTGGGAGACCGCCAGGATATTGCTCTGAGCCAGAAAGTTGGTAACGATGAAGGTTGATGTTATAAATCAAAAGCATGAACAATTTGATGCTAATAGATATGTGTGACATAACGTCAAAGTAGAGCGCTGACACGGTATAGTAGAAAACTATGAAAATCAAGGAGGCCATAACGACGTCCTACAAATGGAGGAACGACTAACGATACGGCCCTAAGTGAAAGCCTGACTCAAAGGCTGGATCTGCCTTTGTTCTCAATTAATACCAGCCTTTGTCTGAGGAAGCATAAAACTCTGAAGCCGGCTCTGCCTGAAGTTGAACAGATGTTTATTGAAATTCCAATATGCATCTGTCTGTTTTTTCGACCTCTGTATAGTTATATCAGTAATTGGGAAATATCTATCATTAACTAGTGTGCCTGCTTCTCAGAATGCCTAAAGTTAGTAGTCAATATTTTTAGCAATATGCTGAAAAGTGAAATATCTCTAAATAGTTCCTAGAGATTTCCACAAATTCACTATTCCACTATTCTTTGTCGGTATAACCTAAACGTTGGTGTACGAAACTCTGGTCACTGTTCATGACCTTCGCGCACAATTAGTCCCATGAGCTCCTTGCTGACACTTTTCAGCTTTAGAACAGGGGCATTCCCCTCCAGTAGCGATTACTAAATCAATCAGCGCTGGCCTTCTCGATTCGGCAATTCAAACTTAATCGACCGTAAAACCAACACTGTTTGCTTTCGCGGGTCGATCGGCCGTTCAGCAAACAAATCGGTGGGAGAGAATAAACACCAGCTCCAAATATACAAATATTCAGTCCTGCCACTTCATTCTGAATTGAAAGCACCAAATTGTCCTTGTTTCTACCTTCCATTTAGAGAAACACAATTATTTGCAAAACAAAACCCGTATCGTATTACGTCAATGTGTGCAAACTATCCCTATATAAATGGGTTAGATATTTGTTGTTTATTGGACATCCCATTTGAATTGACAGGTTTTGACAATTTTTTATTCCAGCGCCACAGGCGAGAAAGTATTGAGATATCAAAAAGAAAACTGAAACTGAAAGTGTAGCTGCCTCTAAAACGTTCGGTGAGAAGGCATTTTAAAAAACCGCAAAATTGTACATAAAATCATGTTAAATATACATTCCCCCTGTCTAGCAGGGGAGGAATGTTTAGATCGCAACGTTGTCAAATAGATCGGAACTATGGACTAATTGTACGTACGCCTGTTTGACTGGCTTTCTTGAAAATGGAATGTTCCATATTATAATACTATCACCCCATATTCCGAGAGACACGTCGAAGAGTGATGATTTGATCATTGGTTGTGAAATTGTAAGTGATTCAATGTTTTTCACATTTTGAAAGATAGTGATTATGTATTCTAGAACTACGAAGTGCTCATAATAAACTTTAACATGACTAAAAAAATGTTTCAAGGTGATAGTTTATACTCTTCTCACTCAAAAACGTGATGTATGTATTTCAACAGGAACCCTAAATTTTAGCTTGCTCGTTTGATTCGTTTAAAACAATAGGTGGGAGAGACCTTTTCTTTGAGAAGCACTGTAGATTAAATGTAGTAAAATGGAGTATTGGAATCTGAAACTGAGTTCTTACCTTGTACACCCTGTTTCTCTCCGTGAGCTTGTCGAATATAGAGTACATCCCATTGAGCATAGAAACAACCTCCATAGGGGCTATTCGGCTGCAGATTTCCGTGAAGGTGACTACATCGGAGAACAATATCGAGACAGTGTCGAACATCTAGAAAAAACAATTAAGTTGGATTAAAACGGGAGGCTATACAAGGATGTGTGGCATCGTTACTTGTTAATGCCCAAGTCCCTCAGAAATTCATGATACCAAAAAAGGTGAAAGAGCGTTCATGCTTAAATATTACCTTTCTAGAACATTCACCACAAATAGAAAAGGCGAAAGCGAAAACTGTATTATTAAGGTTTAGTAGTAGTAGTAGACAATTTATTTACTCCATTATACAAGCACAATGGGTAAATATATATTTCAGTCCATAGATGGACAATACTAGTACATGGATCAGTCGTATGTTGGAATGAAAATAAAAGTTAAAAGAAACTTCATATAAAAGAGTTGTATATACATTTGTAGAGGATGATAATTTTAAAGGAATATTTGATAGGAATTCAATAATGTGTTGTCTTCCTATTGCGCGTATCCATTCTGATAATTTCTTTTTGAAATTATGTATATTTCGAAATTGTTTTAAGTATTTGGGTATGTGGTCATATAATTGTGGAGCAAAATAGAGAAAGGATCGCTTCATTATTGTTTTATGAGGCTTAGGGACAGTTTTTGCTCGTGATTTATATCGTGTATCATGGCATTGTGTGATTTTAACACGCTCACTGACAACTTTGTGTTAATGTGTGATAGTATGTAAAAAATAAAGTTGCTTGAGGTCGAATAATTTTGTTTCGTTATATAAATCGTTTGTTGAATATCATTTTGGTTTTCTGTTTAATTGAACACTGTTAGTTTTTGGAGTATTTCCAGAGTACGGTGCCCAAAGTTATTCTGAATTGAATTGTACATTTACATTGCATTGCTTCTCCTTCAAAAAATGACAGAGTTAGTTTTTAGTCTAATGATTAGTCTGTTGCATTTCATCACAAACCTTATTTTTCTCATATAGCCCTGGTCGTACAGCTCAACACAACCTGTCAATGATCGTGTTCGACATCCCGCCACACAAATTCCGTTCATTTTGCTACGCTATACAGTCGTGAGCAAAAATGAAACATCATACACAGGCCCGCATTTCAAGGGGGGTCTTCTATGAAACATTTTTTTCTGGAGGGCTTCATTGAAAAGATACGGGGTGTTGAAGTTTAAAAATAAAAAACAATTTTTTTTAATATTATCAAAACCGTCAACTGGAATGAACTAAAATTTGGTATGTGGATTTTCCTAAGTGCTTTCCACATCCAAATGTCTTTACTTAAAATTATCGTGCACAAGGGGCGGAGGGGATTAGTGACACTATTTTTTCAAATAAAAATAGTATGCTACTGTTTTTTTATTCGAAACGTACAGTTTGTCGAATTATACCTTCAGTTTTCGAAACATTGCACGTTTCCAGAAAATACAGTGACGTACTATTTTGATCTGGAAAAATAATGCTACTAATCAACTGTATCTCCGCCCCTGGTGTACGTTAATTTTAAGTAAAGATTTCTGAATGTGGACAATATTTTGGTACCCAGTTCACGGTTTTGAGGATATTGAAAAAATTGTTTTTTATTTTTAAACTCAAACACCTCGTATCTTTTTAATGAAAGGTTACATAGAAGACCCCCCTTAAAACGTGGTCCTATGTAACCGTCAAGTTACCGATCACTGTACGAACGAACAGTATCGGTTATGTCAATGCAACACTTAAATATTAAAAAATTGCTATTTTTTTAGTTGACCCCAGTGCGCATTTGCTGAGGTCTTCGGATATTAAATGAACTATCATCCAAAAAGGCGATCCCAGGTTGAACTAGTCAAAACAATGATATTGCGCCATATATGCCTAACAAAATGTCGCTCCATAAGGGAAGAAACGGTATTCAAGATCTTTTTTCCTCCATAACTTAAGCAGTTTTCGTGATATCTTTTTTTTTATATATCGAAACAGCCCCGCAGGCAGAAGCCTAAATGCCGGACCACCGCGGCTGCTATGATGATCCCAAAGAAATTTTGTTAATACGATTTTTGAACTGCCTAAGGTTAGTAGAACTGGGAAAAGCTTCCTCCCGTAGATTGTTCCACAATCTAGACACCCTCGGGACAAAGGAGCGGTCGTATCGGCCAGTTCTGGATGTACGAAGTTTGACACGGTTAGGATGGGACGCCGAAGTCAGGCGCGTCTGTCTGGCAGGCACATCGCGCGGCGGCATCATGGAAGAGAGCTCTGAGGAGCAAAGCCCGTTGGTGTATCGATAGAAAAGAGCTAGATCGCCGACGAACCGCCGGTGCGAAAGAGTCCCGAGACTGTCTGTTAGAGAAGAGTCATCGATCAGTCGGACCGCCCTTCTCTGGACAGCATCGAGCATGGACAATGTAGTCGGGGCAGCAGCACCCCAAATGTGTGAGCAATACTCGAGGCTAGGCCTTATCTGGGCCTTGTATAGAGTGAGAAGGTCATGCGGAGAAAAGTACTTCTTAGCCCTAAACAAATAGCCTAGCTTTTTCCCAGCAGCTGCAGCTATTGAAGAGATGTGTTCGTGCCAGATCAGGTCCTCGGTGATGTGGACTCCGACCAGCCGAAATGAATGGCTCTTTGGTAGAACTCGGCCGTCCATCGAAACTGTATGAGCGCTAGGACGCTTTTTGTTCGTCAAAGTACAGTACTGTGTTTTGGAAGCATTGAACTGTACAAGATTGTTGCGTCCCCAAGCAGTGATAGCCTCCAGGTCTCTTGTCAGAGAAGAAGTCGTCGCTAGTCTTCTTTTTTCCAGCTCAGCGGCAGAGATCGGCTTGTCACTCTGAATTCCTGCATGTAGAGTGCTGTCATCAGCGAAGCTGTGGATTGGGTTGATCGTGCAGGAAATCAAAATTTGAAAGGGCAGGGGAAGGGTTATCACGATTAGGAACACGATTATACTGAATTTTTCACTTGCCTTGTTCCAAAAAAATTTCACCCAGAAAAGTCTCAATTCATTCCCGCAATCCGATTGATTGATTGTGCCAAAAAATGGGAAGATTTTGTACAAGCTAATTGTATAATTTTGGTGAGAGTTATTTTTTTATGGTATCGTTGGATTATTGCTTTCTAATGATACGTTCAAATTAGCGTCATAATCTCGTTTGATCGAAAATTTCGAAAACCATCGATCCTTTATAAAAAAGTAATAGGTTCAATTTTTTAGAGGATTAAACTCATTTTACTCCTATAAAAACTTTCCGTTTTTAAAACTAATAATAAACTGAGACTCGAAGGCCCGATTTTGCTAACAGGATCAAAATTCTTGATCCGGATAATAACAGACCAATGAGAAGGCATCTTTTTAGTAATAGTTGATTTTTTCTAAAATAACTTTCTAACTATCGAAAAAACATACGATTTGTGTAAGAAGGGCCTTAAGTCCCCAAATTAAATCAAAAAATTCTTTATAGATCACCTGGCTTAGCTATAAAAACATATTTTTTCAGTTGATCCGGAGATCGAAACCTATGATCGGGATTAACAATGACCAATTAGAAAACGTTTTCGTAAAACTGCATCGAAAATTGGTCAATCGAGAACAAGTATCATGAACCCATCTTGTAGATAATAGAATCAAATTCAAAACAAACATGAATACCTGAGAAAATTGAAAAAGGGATGTATCGGTTGTTAATTATGTGAATATTTCAGCAAACTCTTTAATTGTCTTCCATTATGACATGTTTTTGCTGCTGTACTTAATCCGCATGTCGTCCTTCAAGGCAAATAGAGATGTTTTCGGGTTACAGTAATTATTTTAAATACCTTTGTCTTGTATAGAAGAAGGTATACTGTTGCTAGAAACTAGATAAGAAATGATACAACAAGAATGGTCTGTAACAACATAAAGTCTGCAAATGTAAAAGGGAAATCTTTCTTGTGCTCCTTTGTCGGCTTGTAATGGGTGGGGGGGCAGGGGGGCTGTATTCAAACTCGGATAATAGCGATTCTCAGTCAACCGCATACATTATTTCACATGGAGATGACTTGAGAACCATTATCCATGATCTAGAATGCTGAGTTAATTATCTGTGATATTTTCCTTATGGACATCAAGGCACTCATTCCCAATCAGTCTATTGAGGATTTTGTTACTCAGTAATTTCAGTAACCGTTGCAGCGATCTTAATGTGAGAGGAGATATAGTAGATAATGCTGGTTTATGACATTACTTTCTCTCCATTAAAATCGTTGCAACGATTGCTGAGGCTACGCAGTTACAAAATAGCCAATAGATAAATTGATGGAAGTGAGTGATTTGATCTGATTTTCGTTATTTTCATCTGACAGTAATAAAAATGGATTCACTTGATCATAGATAATGATTTACGGAGTTATCCCCACGTCAATACGTGATATGCTGACAAGCGGACAACGTATGTACGTAGAGTGCCGGGTATGCCGCCATCTTTATACGAGTTTTTAACTTTCGCTTCTTATACTTGAAGAGCCTCCAAGATGTCGAATAAGACTTTTTTGTAGAAATTTTTATTATCCACAAAAGAAAATAGTACTCGTCTTTTTACGGTTAGGATAGGAAAATATCATTACGGGTACCTTTACCATTAAATTTCTCGAACCTGTTGAATATATGACAAATTTTTGTAGTAACAAAATGATAAAGAATTTAGTTTCATGTAAAACTGTTTTTATTACTTTTTTACATAGGTTCGATTGTTTCAGACAGTTTTGATCAAACTTGCAAAAAATAATCTAACGATACCATGATGGTCAAGATCGACGGAAGACGCACTGTCGAGGTGGGAGTCAAGGATGCTTTACAGAAAATTTTAAATCGTGTGATTCTCGCAATGAGGAACATTATCAAATATGGAGTGTGCTAATTACAACTTAGAATCTCGCTAAAGTTATGATAGAGCGCTGATTCTTTAGTAAAAAGACATTTACACTCGATTAAACAACCGTTTTTTCTAATTCTATTTATTACACAGTTAAAAAGATAAACACGTCGGCAAGTCATAGTAAGCAACCTAAGCGTCTACGTTATTGTCAAATATCCATGACTACGTTCATT